AGATAGAAGTCTTTTAAGATTTATGGTGGACACAAGAAATAAAACCTATACCCCTCTTCTTTTCCACCAACGCTCCATGGAGAACCAACACAAGAAAATCAACCTATGTTTCACCATGTGGTTAAGATAGTACAGATCCCTGAATATAATTTTGCTTGGAGGGTGGCTATCATTGAGGAACTTGACAAAAGTTCCTAGAGAAACTCTTCATACTTCTTCATCATCATCATCCACTTGACTAGTAGTCAATTATCTTCCTTAGGACCCTTACAATAAACCCTCACACAAAGATCTCCATCTCTAACTTTTCAAGTAGATTTGTCAAGGAGGAATCGTCCTCTTCCAACAATGCCACCCTCTTTGTAAGGGTTCAAGTAAGTTCCTCGAGTTATTGTATACTCATGTTATCTTTCCTCATCTCTTTAAGAAGGCACTAGAAAATAGAAAATAGGGAGTGGTTAGCTTGTCATCTAACCATCTAAAGATGAGAAACTTCTAATGCAAGGACATTCAATTTCATCCATAGAAAAGAGACAGACAATAATAAAGAAATGATGACCCCACATAAGTTGTAGGCATACCAAGAGATATACAGACTTGGGGAACTCCTATCCTTGGTTGGATATACCAAGGAATATCATCCACTCCTACTCCATCATATCATCTCCTTTATCCTCTGGTAAACCAGTTTCAATAAAGGCCTCATGCAACCGATTGATTTTCTCTGCTTTCAAGAATATTCTCTTTCAGAGGTTCCTTGCCTTTCCTCTTACATATTACCTCAAAGCGGATCAGCTCGAGTGCTTCCTTCTTGATGACATCCTCACCCAAAAGATCACCCTAACTGCCAAGAAAAGACTGCTTGGTCATGCAACTCTACCACTCATGGTTGATGACCTGTGTCAAGAAAGGTGGTATCTAATCTGCTCCATAGCCAACTAGACTAGATCGCCACATGTCACTTCCATCGGTCGACTCGACTTTGCTCTCTCGTGACCGATTACGTCATATATTTTTTTTAGCCATCCATTTTCTATCACTACTAGTGGATGGAGCAACCCAAGAGAAATAAAATTACTCGACAGCTTCTCAACATCTCCTCTTCTCTTGATAAGAATCAAATTGTCTGTCCCTAGTTCTTGAATAACAATAATAGAAGGATAAATTAAATGTAAGTATTCACTCATACTTATTAAATCGATTTCTACTCTCCCCTCTCAACCCTCTTTGGTGAGAGCCTTATTCAACTCTTCTTGTGTGGCATCTACAAACTTATGTTCAACCTCTGTCATGACACCACATTTGGTCGAAGTAACCACTATACCAAGAACTTGGGTGTCGAGATACTTGGGCATGCTGAGCTTCACACTCATGGCCCGGTATGCTTGATGTAAAAGAGTGTAAGGGGGTTTTGACATAGGTACCACAGGTGTGCAGACAGAGCTCATCCCAATCATCTGACCCCCCTCCATCAAAATGAAGTAGAACTTGTGCTTCCATTCCTTCAGGAGTAGTGTTGGAAGTGAATCTTACTCCCTGAAGTAAACTGAATGAATCCCTTTAATCTAAAACAAAATGAGAATATAAAGCTAAAAAATTGACCAAGAGATGCCCATCTACCGGATGAACATCACCACAATCATGATAATGTCGATCGAATTTGACATAACTTGTTTATGAACAATCCAATAAAGCCATAAGAGGCTAATAGTTCTTTGCATTGAGGAAAACTAGGGCTGTTGAAATTGATCTTTGTAGAATAATAGATTGTTTCCATAAAATGTGTTCACCCTTTCACCCCTCTGAGTCCTCATTTGTACAAATGGGGTAAAGATGCGTACCATTTGATGATGGTTGATCCACACCTGATCCATCTTCGATAACATAGAAAAGTTCACCTCAATGAAATCCATATAGCTAGGGCTAATAAGAAAGAGAAGCAAAAGAATATATTTTCAATCAAGAGAGAAAAAGATGCAAGAAAAGAATGACAAAGGAACATATCACCATGATCAAAAGCTCTATTATAGAGGGCAAATAAGTCATATCAATAAATGATGAGGGAAAAAAAACAAAATAAGGAATGTCAAAAGCATAAGAACCAGATTTGACACCAACAAGTCATCTCCACACAAGAATCAAAGCAACAAAATTATTATGAAATTTAATTATAAAAGATCAAACATGAATAATTACATTAATTAGAAGAAATGAAAAACCCACACAAGGGTCTATCATAGCTCAACTGAGAGATGACCCAATCAGATGAGTCTTTTAAACACGAACTCCTCTTTAAACTTAAATTGCCCAAACGGTCTAATTCAACATGAGCTTGAGATATTAGAAACCTCTCCCTAAGATTCATGAGCTCCTAGTGAAGGATGGCCTTCGACTACTTTGGCAGGGTAATCTCCTATTCCAAACCGATCATCTAGATTAAAAAACTATACATTTCAGCAAGAGAAGCCACATTCATCAAATGGATTAAGACATTATCAGTTGAGGTATTAATCACCCCGTGAGCTGCTCTAAACTCTCTCCTAATTTCCCCCTCATCCTTCATTCGAGATTCCTCTCCACCGCTAAATAATTCAACTCAATATGTGTCCTGATCAAGCTCATGTCGATCAACCCCTTCAGTTATTTGTTCGTTGCAGCCCAAGAAAGAGCTTTGAACCTTATTCAGATTTAGCTAGGTTGGTCACTGTACAGAGCGAGATGATCGAAGGATACATCACATGATGGAATGACATCATCAAATGTGCGCGCGCGCACGCACACACACACAGATATATATATATATATAAGCAATAACATTTGTTATCACAACATTAATGATTTTATTATAAGGACAAGTCATCACCTGGTATGCTTAAAGTTGTCTGAAATACAAGTTGAAGACGTGTGTCAGCGATCAAGTCGTACTTCGATGCCTCAACTTCTAGGAGAATAACAATATTGGTTGCTCGGGGTACATGTAGCATTTTTAAGAGTGACAACATTGATTGGCTCGAGGGCCGCAACAACACTCCTGGGTCATCCTAGATGAGCAGATCGAGTCTCTTCCATTTCCCCTTAAGTTGATGTTTCTTCTTTTTGTCCCCACACTTATACTAATTGAATAAGTCACGGAGAAAAACCTGGGTCAAGACGTCAGTCTTTGATTGGGTAAACTCCTCCATCACAACACAACAATAGAACGATCAAATTAAAAACAAGACTTAGAATTCAATCAAATGAGATCCAATGAAGTCTCATCAATTTATTTATAAGTCAAATGCCCTGAATTCAAGCGAGTAGTTACGTTATGAGCATTTATTTCTAATTCATAGCTAATTGTTAGAATTTAATTCTCTTATTTTTATCACGACATAACTTTTATGATACTAAAGAATCGGTGAACTACATATGTATAGTTGAAAAGCGATTGTCCAGTCATTATGTGTTGTATGGTCCAGATTATCAAGTATTAGACGGCACGAAGCACATCAATCAATGGAAGCCAACCTGAATGAATAAAAATAATAGATTGAGCCGCCACACGTAACTACAAGTCAGGAGGTTGAGTTACTGAGATTGAGTGAATCAAGGCTGAGCACTCGTCACTGCATGATCGAGATCAAGCGTCCAAGACCAGTCTACAAAAGTGGAGCTCTCGAGGCAGGGACCAGAGTCAGTGATGGTCGAATGATCAAAGGCGAATGCCCAAGGACGAGTAAGCAGCCACAACCGTGATCAAATATTAGGAGATGGTCTCCGCAACCCAACCAAGGGTCAACTTTTTTCAGAATCTCATAGCATGACAGCAAATATAACAATGACTCAAGCGACCGACACATCAAAATTTTTGGCCAGGATAATCCCAAATGCCTTTTCATAAAAGACCCAACCACTATAATTATATTAAATTAAGTGTAAAGGGTATTCTTCCCTTTTTTGAGACACTTTTTATCATTTTCTTCAGAGGAAGAATTCTGAATAAAAGTTTTTTTTTTCTCATTTGGCTCCCCCCATTCCATCTCTAAACACACTCTTCCTCCATTTACGCTCTATCACATTTCAAAATTTTAAATTACAGCACTTTTTATTAGATATGAAAATTTTGAATGATGTGCTTGAAAAAATAAACCTTTAGATGTCAAAACATGTAAATACAAAGGATACCAGTGCTATGCATGTAAAAGCCCCAATTTTCAATAGCCAAGGAAGAACCGCATGCCTGCAAAAGAATTGAAATTGCTCCTCAGCCTCTTTACATTTCTAAGCATCGCCGTTTCAAATTTTTGAACGAGAGATTTTTAATTTAATAAATGATTTCACGATGAAATAATTAGTGGAGTTATTGGCACAAAAGCCACACCAGAAATGGACATCACCGGACGACTTTAATCATACCCCTACAGTAATTAATTATTATCATTAAAGTCGGTCAATAAGCATGTCATCCAACAGATCCAAATGTCATGCAGCTCCCAACATATTATTTTAATTGCAGAAGCTCCAAAGCAGCATGTATAATTTAACCGAAACGTGCAAGAGACCGAAATCATGTCATTCATGCAGCCATCAGGCAGTGCCTCATAAAGCAATAACAAACGAACATTTGGACCCAAACAAGCAGTTTCTTCAAACGCAGTGAAGCATAATTGGATCAGCTGGAATTTAATACGAAAATAAATAGAGAAATCTGCATGCCTGCCAGATAATTCCATATTTACATTTTAAATTTCTAATATTTTTGTTTCAAACATAATTTTTCTTCAATAAGTTTCCGCAAGTGAATTTTTTATGTAATATTAAAACTTAAGAGTGTTATGAATGTAAATATAAAAGTTTAGGTGCTTGATATGTAAATATATGATATTTGTGTGCATGCATGTACCCAAATAAGGTTAAGAAAAAGAAGCATTTGCATAGCACACAATTCTTATATATTTACGTACCTCACGCCTAAGCTTTCATATGTACACGCATAGCACTTTGATGTTTTAAACCTATTCTCAAAAAAAAGGAGTATTTCACTTCTAAAATGTTAGTAGTGCAATTTCAATTTTACAATAAGAATTGCGAACTGCAGATGTAAATTTCCTTCATTGTCAGCGTATCATTTAATAGAAAGCAGAAATCCCTCAAATCGACTAAAATATTCTTCATGGGATAAGTTTTATCCTACAAACTACTAAAATCAGCCATTTTGAGGAGGATCATGGCTTCTTCACCTTTCCTTCATATCATATATCACGCACGCATCAGCAGCTGTCTTCATCTGAAGCAAAGAAATGTCGCATTAAAAATTTCATCAACGTGCAAAGAATATTTTTATGTAGCAAACTCATGGAGCACACATATAAAAAATTTGCAATTTGTGGTTGTAACATGAGCCTTGATTTGAAAGAAGAGAATGATAACAAGTTAGAAGTATTATTTTATCGCAGCATGCTTCTTTTAAAAGTTTTAAAAACATAAAATGCAAAATTATAACAATATAAGATTGCTTTGATCTCGAGAGTTTGTATAAAGATGTTGCAGATCGATCATTCATGATATACTCAATTTTAAGACAAAATTTGGAATGAGGCGACAAATCATAATATTTATATTGACATAGATGAGAATAAGATCATGGTGAAGGAAGTTAACATATATATTTTTATGATCTAAAAAATAATATCTTTTACAATCAATATTTTCATGCGAATAAGGTAACAAGCTTCAACAGCATTTTAAGTTCTTCATTGTTTGCAACCACCGCATCCATATTGATAAGAAAAATGCTGCTTTTATGTGTTAAGGATGTACGTCCTTTAAAAACGAATTCATGCCCACACACAAGGCTTTTAGTGATCTTCATAGAACCTATGGTAGGCAAATACTAACATTTGCTGCTCAATATTTGGAAGCTCACATGACAGATAATTAGTACATAGCCTCACCCAGTTATGATGTAAAAGGCCATTAACAAAAACAATTTGTAGCAGTTTGAAAACTGAACTTCTGTGGAAAAATAAATGGATAATCACCAGTTGGAAAAAGAAAAAAAAATAGAGAGATTTAAGGAACAAGGAACTCATTGTCTCGCACAAATGAGACCAGAAAACCCAAACTAGGGCTGCTTGAAACAACAAAGGAATTAATTTCATTTGTAATCAATTTATCTAAGTCATTTAAATAGGGATACGACCGCTAAAAAATAGCATTACCAGAACAATGATATAGTACAGCATCTTTTTTTTTTCCTTAAAGATATAACCTATTACGATTATTCTTAGGGAAATTTACGTAGATACCACAAATTTCTTATTTATTTACCTATGTAACACATAAAATTTAATATTTATATTTATAACAATTTAGTCTCATAAATCTATGCATGAAAATGTGTATTTTATATTTAAAAAGTAGTAGTGATATTTTTTACCTGATACTTCACTGCCTGATGGCTTTATGAGGCACTGCCTGATTATTGCTTTGGTCTTTGAATTCGACTTGAGTTATACATCGTTTTTCTGATTATTGCTTTGGATCTTCTTATTTATAGTGCATTGGTCTTTGAATTCGACTTGAGTGATGTGCAAGTTAACTATGAAAGTTTAGCTGTTAGAAATGTAAAAATATAAGAATTGTGTGTCATGTATGTAAATACCCCTAACTTTTATCAATGATAAGTTGAACACTCACAAATATAGCAAAATAGATTCTTCATAGCATAGACGACTCGTCTCAAATTCAAAGACCAATGCACTAAAAATCAGAAGTATACTACTGGAGTCAAGACCATTCAGGTGTCATGAAAAAACTTACATTTATTTAAAAGAAATAAAAAAATTTAATTCAGATAAATAAGAAAAACACCTAAAACTAATAATCAAATATCGAATAATTTAATATTTGGTGCGCTATCAATATCAGAGATGAATGGATGAGGACAATCTAACGAGCTAATTTATTCTTCAAGAAGACTGAATGCAATGCAAAAAAATTGAAGTGCCAACAAACAGAAAAACGATGAATTTGTAAGTAAAATCCTCACAAAAAAAAAAGATAATCATGAACTCCGAACAATCAAACTGCACTTTCATAGATCAAGCGTTATTTATCTCAAATAAGATTAAGATTTCCAATGCACATAACAAATAATAAAAGAAAAAAATCATGCAACAAATAAAATCTAAAAGGCCAAATTAGAAATGAGTAGGTTAACGAGAAAAAAGAAAAATTGATAGATATTAATCCAATATAAAATACTTGGGAGCCTTTTATTAAGAATTAAGGGCTACAATAAAAATCAAGAAAGTCACCAATAATTGAAATTCATGCATTTGGCAAAATACTGATTTTAGCAAAATTTGATTAAAGAAAATCACAATTTCAACCAATAATGAATTAGTAGATAAATAAGTGAAGAAAGCATGAAAGAAGATGAAAAGAATGAAAAAATAGAAAATAAGAAGAGAAAACAAAAAAGAAGAAAAAACAGAACACCAAAAAAGCAATAACGAGTTTGGATAAGTCTCCTGAAACTCTTGAAATCTCTAATTTGAATAAAGAACTTAATCTCATATTTTTGAAATGATGCATATAGAGAGATGGGACATAAAGTAGCGGTGATGGGATGATCATTGTAATTGGATAATGGTTCTAAGGTTTGAACTTCTTGGAGATTCTAGCCAAGCTTATTCCTAATAGCATAGACCTGAAGGGGTACAACATTAGGATTTATTAGTTTTGGGAAGTTTCATAAAACTTATCTTCTAGCTGAACATCATTCCCCATAATAGTGAGTAATCTTTTTGTGATGGGATGATAGAGTTTATACCCTGTTTAAGTAGAAGAATAACGACAGAAATACACATGAGTGTATTTCAAATTATATGAAGCCAGTAAAAAAATGATAAATGCATAAATATTTGAACCCGAATATCTAGGAAAAAGTAGAATATGTAATTACAGTTTTTAAAAAAGAGAAATAATTAATTAAAATAATTTTTTAAGCTAATGTATGGGTCGATTTGAAGGGGTTACTATCTCAATAGTTTCATTTTTTACGAGATGCCACATTAGAACCATGAAATAGAAAGGAGAGAGAGAGAGAGAGAGAGAGAGAGAGAGAGAGAGAGAGAGAGAGAGAGAGAGAGAGAGAGAGAGAGAGAGAGAGAGAGAGAGAGAGAGAGAGAGAGAGAGAGAGAGAGAGACTCAATAGTTTCATTTTTACGAGATGCCACATTAGAACCATGAAATAGAAAGGAGAGAACGTCAGACAGAGAGAGAGAGAGAGAGAGAGAGAGCACATAAGAGAGCACAGAGTGAGGAAGAGGAGTGAGGGAAGGGAGAACGTGTGTGATCGAGGAGGCCTCATAACCTCGGTTCAAAGGAAGGTGATTCATGCGTGAAGGAAGGAGGAAGCACGCTACAGCCCTTGTCTCACAACCCAACCTAATAACTTAGAATTAACCAAATCATAAATTGTGGTAAGACAAAATTAACTATTTCTTTTTATTTTATTTTATACAATAAAGAATCATAACTTCCAATTGTAAAAAAGAATCACTAAGAAAAACAACAAAGTATACCAAACAATAATCAAATTCAACCAAAGCAATAAGATAATCGGAAAGTAAAACAATAATGCAATCCAACCAATAAAAGTTTAGCATCAATCTAAACTAAACAGTCTAATAAAATAGTAACATATCAAACAATTTTTTAAACCGTTTTAAGAAGTCATATCAAAATCATATTCATACCTGAATCCCTCAAAAAGTTATACCTTTAGATACCCAAAAAAGTTTGTACACATAAGTACCCTCAAAAGTTTGCACCTGAATGTATACTTTTACCATTTACATCTTTTTCTTTTTTTCGTGCACAAGTACAATGGTGTCCCCCTCCAATATCATAAATAGGTAAACCCTGATTGACTTAATCATTTCATATCAATTTAAAATTATTTAAATATACTTTCATATTTCAATTCATTTCCTCCCATTTAAATATACTTTCATATTTCACAAAAGTTTGTACAATAATAATATTTCAATTCTTTTTTTTTTGTACACATAAGTACCCTTAATCTTTCGCACAAAGCCATGCCTCCTTAATCTCGCACACGCATAAATCGCCTCCCCACCCTTCTACCTTTGAGCTAGGTTCAACTCCAGAACGATACGTGCGAGGAGATGTCCTCTTTCCTTCTCTTTCCTTCGGCTAGGGTTCGACAACCTCTCACACGCACGATACACCTTCCTCCTCATGATACGCACACCTACAACGGCTTCGTCTCTCTCTAAATCCTAGTAAGGAAGGAAAATGTGTTACTCTTCCTTTCTTCTCTTCTTCTCCACCAACCGATTAATACACCACTTGGGCTAGGCGAGATCATTCATTTTTCCTCCTCTTCTCATAAAATCCTAAAATTTCTTATGCACACGCGCACTCTCGATCTCTCTATTTCATTTGGTTCCAATGGGGCATGCGACTCCTAAAGACAAAAAAGTAGAGATGCTTATCCCTTACTGCCTATTCAATCATTATTATTATTTTAATTTTTTATTACTAAAAATTCAATTACTACACAAGAAGAGGAAGAATATGGAAGCCTCGAAGTTGTGTTGTTGGCTTGCCGCATGAAGGAACAAAGGAAATGAGAGGACACTTGTGTGCGTTGAATTGAGCGAGAAAAACGGGACCAAACCCAGTTGCGTTTGGAAGGGTGCCTCCAATTCTTGCAAGAAAGTGAGGTATTGCAGGGTTTTATTATGTTAATTAATGTATTTAATATGCTATTTATTAAAAGTTAATATTAGATTTAATTATATTTGGATTTGTAAGCAACAAAACTATTAAATTATAAGGAGAAGAAAGTTTTGATATTACAGGTAAATGTTTATTTTATAACTTATCATAGCCAATTAAATTATAAGTTATCAAGCACTAGAATAAGAATTATTTTAAAATAAAGTCAACAATCACATGCAGAATAATATTTGAATTTGGTAGTGGATCACCTTGAAGGATATGATATAAGATAAATAAAATTTAAGTTAGATTTATTTAATTTAAACTTAATTTATTAAAATATTAATATTATATTATATTACATTATAACAACTATTAAGACAAAAGAGCACTGCTCATAAAAAATTTGAAGGAGTCAGTGAGATAATCAAATAAAACTCTAGGTGGGGTGATAATATTTTTAAATTTTAGTAATTTTTCATTATTTTTAAATATACGTTTAATTTATATTATGTTCTAGTTTAGTTAAATTTAAATTATAATAGATTCTTCACAATGTCAAACAAGAAAAATATACATGATAAATAGTTGTACATCATAGTAAGTATGCATATTAACACTGCTGCATAAATAATTACATATTAGTTTTCCTACAAAAACAACAGATTATTACATAAACTTTAGAAATATGCACGCTAAAAGTTCTACATAAAACAGTTGCAAAACTGTTTACATATGAATTTTGTTATTGCTAATACTTTATTTAAGAAAATAGATATATATTATTACTTATAAGAATGGATCTAATAAAACCCAAATTGACTGTTTTCTTACGAGTAAAAGAGAGCGTCAAGGATGTAAATATTATAAGATCGTTCCAAGTGAAAAGTTAAGTATTCAATATCAATTATTAGTTCTGAGTTTTAAGATGAGTTTTAAGACAAAAAATACAATGAAAAATTATCAAAGAATTAGAAGGGGGCACATAAAAGATAATTATTTTTACGAGTAAACTTTAAAATTTCAAGATATTATATGTTCATGAAGAAGCTAATTCTATACGAGATAAAAGTATCAAGCACTATTAAATAAGTGGCAAAAAAGATACTTGAAGAATCAAAAGAAAAAACTTTTATAAATAAAAATAATTTTAGGGTAGAATAATAATGTACAAGAAAAGGTAATATATAAAAGGTTTTATAAAAATTAATTTAAATATAAAAGCTAAGAGAACTGGAAAAAAATATAAGGTGGTCAGTAACGAGTCTAAGAGAATAATTTATGAAGCTAAAAAATTTTATTTTTAATGATCTTTATGATAGATTAGATACCAAACATTGTGAAAAATATATGAAGTGAAACAAAGAGAAAAGAAAAGTGAAGATTAAATTCAAGGCATATTAAAGATGAAAATCAAAAAATGTTTTTTCTTAGATGGGATATCCAACATAGGTGAGTAAGCTATTTTGATAATTATTTTAATGAAAAGTTTAAAATACAATTGACCTTAGTGATTTTAATATTGTTGATAATAATAAAACAATTATTTTTATCATCACATTAGTAAAAAAAGAAGTCGATGGGACATTAAGAAAAACAAAGAGTGGAAAATTAGTTTGACTAGATGATATCTTAATTGAAATTTGGAAGTATCTAGGAGATTTGGGAGTTTCTTGGCTTGTTAAATTCTTTAATATTATTTTAAAAACTAAAAAAAGCCTGAGGAGTAAGGGAAGAGTATCATGGTCCTCATCTTTAAGAATAAAGGGAATGCACAAAAGTGTGCAAATTGCAGAGAAATTAAGTTGATGTGTCATACTTTAAAATTATATGAGAGGATAATTAAACATAGGTTAAGA